TAACTCCTTTTGTGCATTCTTGGACTTGGAACAAATGGCCTTTAATTTATAAGATGAATCTTATTAAGCGTGTCATGGGCAAAAGGAGGAGTTTTTCAATTATGTTAGCACAATTGAAAAGCCCCGCAAAATGCAGCTCTGAAACCATGATAGATTAGCAGATTATGCTGTAGCCTAATTCTGGTAAACTAGTGTGTTAAAAACAGTTCTTTTTAGACTACTGGGACAGATCAATGAGTGCTAGGAACACAGTATCCTCAGTGAAGGGCTTTCCCCTATGAGACCTGCTACCATGGGTATTCCAGAAGGGTAAGGCCCCAGAAGAGAGTTCTTGTGAGAAGGTGGGTGGAGAGTATGTGGTAATATATCAAAGTGAAGTCTGCTTTGAAACCCAGCAAGAACTTGGTTTCTGTATGCACATATATTTGATCCTATTTCAATTTTGTTATTAAACCACCTATAAACTCAGTAAAAAAACAAACCCTGACCTGTTTTGTACACCTCTACACAATATACTCCTACTTGATATTGAGAAACTGCAACAGTATGATGTGCACAGGTTTTATTTTCAAAGCAATCTCTTATTCTGTGTAGGATTTGTAACAATGCAATTAATACTTTGTTATAAAAAGCAGAAATGTAAAAAATGAAAATGTGCCACCTAATGCAAATGCACTGCATTTGTAACTAAAGAAAAATTAAAGAGGAAAGCATGTTGTCAACATTTTTCTCCATGTGATGTAGATCCCTTGTCCACGTCAGACATTGTGACAAAAGTACTACATTTCCCAATACTAGTGATTACAATTTAATTTAAATAGAGGGAAATCTTGAAGTGATTTCAGGTTTATTTGCAACACTGTACAAGAAGATTTACAAGGTCTAGAGACTTGTAAGGTTTCTATTGTAGGAACAAAATAAGGAAAGCTCTTTGTTGCCCTATGGAAAGGTTTGTGGTGGGGTAAAAAAACAGGAGATGATCCTGTTTCTTCAAGGTGATGGAAAGAAAAGTTGAGTCTGTTGCACCTACCCAAGTGGAAGACGTAAAAAATCATGGAGATTTATTTATTTCGTCCCTGACTTTGGCACTACTGGCAAGTACAATGAACTCTGACAAACAGGCCTTACAGCCCATGAACTATTTAGTCTTAAACTCAAATGTTTCCACTAGACTAGTGCTGAAGAGTGTACCTAAAAATAACCAAAAAAAAAAATCACACCACTGAGCTGACAGGAAATGTAAAAATTCTTCAAAGTGAGAAGAGAGCCACTGAAGCTGATGAAAAACAGTCATATTCCTACTACTTCATGCGTTCATAACACCTTCCTAGCATTTAGTATAACAATACAGCCATAAGTAGGTAAATATTGGAATCTTTACACACAGAGGTAAACTGAGGCATAAAGCCAAAGCCATTACCTGGCTTGCTCTAAAGTGATGGTAAAAGCAGAATTAAAGACCTGCTGGATTAAATAACATTGTCAGATCTTTAGCACAGGGACATTTAGGTCTGTACAATACCTTTCAATTCCAGCTGGCACCTTTGGTTGTTATTATATAACACAAGGAGCATTCAAAGTTTTTCTTTCCCCAGCTCTTGAGACACCGGGAGTGAATGGGGAGAGCGGGATCACAACGCAGTCAACACTTAATACTCATCCACTATTGCTTTCCTGCCACAGAAACCAGCAGCTTCCTGGGGATTTTTGCTGGGCTTCTACTAATAGGGAAATATCAAACCACGGGAGCCTGCTGCAGCTTTGTTGTTAGCTTTTCCTTTGAGGAAAAATATGTTTTTTTCTTGTAGATTTACCTGAGATTCTCCACAGGTAAAAGTGAAACCATCCTTTGTTCACAGAGTATAGGTCATACTAGACTCTCTGAGATTCTGGGTAAGATGAAGCTACATCTGCTTGTGATTAAAAGGAAAACAATTAGGGCTTATCCAGATGAATTTGCACATCTGGGCTGTGTTCCCATGACTAGGAATGTGCGTTTCCCCAGGGACAAGTAGCAGTGGTACACCTTATGCCACTGCTACTTGTCCCCGGGGAACGCCCGTGCGATGTGCGCTCTGGTGCATGGCAGGTTACCCCGGGTGGGGTAGGGGAGGCTGGGGCCAGCAACTGTGTTAGCCCCAGCAGCCTTACCTCGGGCCCTGGGGGCCTCCAGGAGCTACAACTGTGGTGCTCCTGCAGCAGGAAGGCTGGCCAGCAGTTGGAGTGTGGCTCTGGCTGGCCAGGCTCTGGTTTTGGGTGGTGTGCACTGCTGCCACATGCACTGCTCCACTTTTTTTTTGGCATGGATTTTTTTGACCCTGGGATCTCCCTGTGCCAAACCCTGCCATCTCCCTCACCCCATGACAAAGTAGCAGCACGGGGAATGCCTGCATATGCAGTATGTGGCACCACGGACGGGTCTGCGGCACCGCATGCTGCATGTCTGCGCTCATCTGGACACGCACTTATAGTCCAGAGTTGCTTTTACAAGTTAACCAGTTAAAACAGTCCATATAATTATACTTTTTCATGAGATCTTGTCCTTCCTTCACGTTCCTTTAATTACTATCATGTTACAGGCAAGGACTTGCTACAAACTTATTCCCCTACCATGCATTTATAAGAATTTAGCCTCTAATCTTTAAGGGTACTTTTTTCTATGTATTATTCCAGGCTAGCTTATTTTTTCGATCCAGCATTACAGTTATGCAGATAAATCTTCCTGCACTCATACCTCTCAAGATGCAACCATTTGTAATTACCATATTTACTCAAATATACAATGACCTCCACATAATAATTAGATTCTAGATATAGAAAATTTATACATTTGTATAATTTTCCAGGTATATAATCTATTTATTGGAGGTTTGCCTTGAATTTGCCTCCTCCCACTGCTACAACAGAGAAAATAAATCTGGAGGGGTAGGTAGCCCCCTTGCCTTCTGCCCTCCCTCAACTTCTTCCCTCTGCAGCCCAATACCTCCACCCCCTTATTGTCAGACCCTGCTTTCCCTAAGCACCTGGGAGTGAGAAGCAAATATGAAAACACTGACCTAGAAATAAGCATACCCCTAGTAACACGCATATAGGGAAATTGCTACAGGTACCCATAGACTTATTTCATCCAGAATTGATGCGGTTTACCTCCTTTGAAACTGCTGCAAGTTTTAGCAGGTATTCCATAAACACACTTTTAAGCAGCACTTCTGTACCTATTTGTATATAGTACAAACTGGGCATGTCTACATGTTCATTAATGCACCCTAATTATGGCACATTAAGTTTTGTACATGTTATGACAGGTACTAACTTCATGCACCCTAATCGGCACTACTGCACATTAGCACAGATAAATGGTTCTTTTAGTAATGCTAATACGCATTAGACTAAATCTACTGTGCATTAGCATGGGTTTTGCCCGCCATACTAATGCATAGTAGAATTACTCTTCTGCACATTAAGGATCTTGTGTAGATATGTCCTCTATTTTTTATTTTTAAGAAAAATTTTTCATGTTCCAAGTCAAATCAGCCAAATCAATTCCAAATGCATGAGTCATTCAAGAACCATATGTGGGCCCTACTACCGGCAAACATCCTCCACCCCCGCCTGCGGCTTCAGACGTTTCCAAATCCTTCAGCGGGCATCCTATGTGTAGACTCAAGCCCGGAGGCTTGGGATTTGGATGCCCCTGAGTTTTGCTTGTCCTCAGCCATATGGCCACAGAAGCAACCTAGGGAGGAATCTCCCATTGACAAGATCTTTCTACTGGAAGAGAAAGTGAGAGGTTAACTATTACATTACCTCAGCCAAGGAACTACCCTGCCAAGAAAGTGGTTTTCCCCCTGCAAGTAGGAAAATGGCCTTAGTGGTCATGGTAAGCCATGTCCACTATGCATGATATTAATTCAAATCCAAAAGGCTCATGTTTACCATATAGTTCATTGGGCTGGCCCCAGCAGAGACAACCGTGTTTCATGCCATGATGACCTCACAGTTCAGCACTGTTCAGTACCCGTGTGTGCTCCAGATACCTCCCACAGAGGCTCTGTGTATTAATTAGCCCCCCCCACTCATGACTGGAACCAGGTGTTCTTGTCACAAGTCCTGGTATATGCAAATAGGGTGCAGAGCAACCTGGTCTGGCTTCAGCTCATGGAGGGCAGAGGCACACTAGTCATGTGCAACAGGCTTAGAGGGGGCAACAGAAGGATTCTGGGTAAGCTGTTTGGGGCCCCATTTGGTGATGTTTGCCAGACATTTAAGGCTGGTTAAAAAACAGGACTCATTGGAAATGGGAAAGAAAGGTGCAGCTCAGCGGTGCGTGTGTGTGTGTGTGTGAGGGGTGGGGGGGGGAAGGAAGTTGAAATGTAATTGCTCACTATGACTTGAAAGAGTAAATGCTGAAGGGGACTGAGCACAAGGGGCAGTACCATGTATTTTATTCAGATAGACTCTGCTGGCCTATCCTTTGGTGGGTTCCCATCAGCATCTTGGTTTTCTGGCTAAGATCAAGCATTTCTGGCACCAAGGGGAGAGTGTGAGGCCTGGCGCTGGCCCCCCTGGTGCTGGCCTGATATTGCAATACCTCCAGGTCCAGTGCCAGTTCCCTGTGTTTTTTTAAGGGCCAAAAAAGGGTTTCCATCACCATTTTTGGCATTAGGAGCGGGTGTTAGACCTTGCTTCAGCCTCTCTGAGTGTTTGGCCCGGTGTTACAGTGCCTCCAGCTCTGGTGCTCATTTCCTCCTAGGGGAGAAACTGCCTGTTTTTTGTTTTTAAGAGTCACACAGACATGAAAAGGCTCCAATCAGTATGTTTCCTCCCTATGGGCCAGATGTTTTATAGTCATGTTCAGTTTTGGCTGCTTTTAACTAACTTTATAGTTGGTTTCCATTATTGAGAACATGTTGCTTTTGGTACCAGTTTAATAATATACAATGTATTTAGGAAAGCTTCCTTGTATGCAGATGTAACATGAAGAGCTGTTTTCTCCAAGCTGATTGGGGGGGGGGAAAACCTTGTCTTATATTCGAGTAAATACAGTAAACTAAACATACTAGTTGCTTTATTGTGCTAAGTTAGGAACTGCTATTAGGCAGCTGAATAAGTAGGCATTATGTAGCTTCCTTGAGTAATACTGCTAATACTTATCAGTAAGAAGAATATCTATCTCTTGATAATCATGAAAGAAATACTCAGTAATATAACTAAGTGTAGTATGCACTCCAATTACAATTCTTACAAAGGAATAAACTCCGCATTTACAAACTGAATTGCTGCATAGCAATGCTAACAAATATAGCTGCAGTATCTATTTTAAATGCCATCACTAGTTAATTGGCAATTGTCATCAACTGCAATTTTTGTTGTTTGTTGAAATGCAACTGTGATTTTAAATTCAGCAATGTTCATCTAAAGAACTGCACAATACACCATCTTTTGACAATACTAAGAATTACAACAGTTCACATGGTTTTATAAAGCACTTCGTTTACAACTGTGATATGACACACTTTGCCCAGCAAGACAAACAGTGCAGCAACTATAAAAACATTCAACTACTGAAAAAAAACGTATTTTAATTATTCAAAAAATAAACTCATAGTAGTAAATTTTATACAAGCAAGAATATTAGTAGTACAGGATATTTTAAATTCTCAAATTTTACAGAAGTTTTAATACATTATTTTATCATAAATAGCAAGATACACAGGTCATTTCCTGGACTACAGGCTAGAAATGCTTGTGCTGTTTTCAGCCTTTTCTTGAAAAACCACTGCTCCATGCAAGGGAACAACATAAAAGATGTTAACAATGGAATTCTTCCTTCCTTGATGCTAGTATGTGCGCTTTTCTTTTTCTCCCCAACTACTGTAAGCAGTGTTTCTCCAAAGATTTATCAATAAAGGAAAAATATCCAAAATTCTCACTGCTGTTTCTAAATGGACAATTTTCAGACCTTCCAAAATTCATTTTAGCTTCATGCATAACTTGAACAAATCTTGTACCTTTCAGCTTTTCCAAAACATTTCAGAACTGTTCTTCAGGTGAAAGATGTAATAATGACAGCAAGAAGGCAAACTGAATTTCAGCTTTGTACATAAAACACCCCCTGAAATGTTCTGTTGTTCACCACAGCACTGGTTCAAATACAGTAGAAGAGATTTAAGTTGCTCATCATTTACTGGGGGTAAGAAAAAACAAGTTGATTAGTAACCTTAAAAGTACTATTGTATCACATAAGCATGGCTAGTACTAATGCTAGAAGACATTTCTTCTAACCTATTTAGAAAGTAAAAACTAGTCTCAATATCAAGCAAAAATAAAACAGGTTTCTAACGAAAAGCAAGGGTCTTCAAAATATTATGTATTTTAAAGTTTTAGTAATCTAACTTGCCAGTACGCATTTCATTTGAATAAAAAGGACGACAAATATAAGAGTCAGATACTGTCCCCATACTGCAAAATGTACTTTATATTGTTAGTAGCATATAAATAAAATTCCACCCAAAAATTCTGCTATTTTGCTACTGGATATTGCAAAAACATTAATGTGCAAAATTATAAGCAGTAACTGTAAATGACAAAATGGTGCTACTCATTTTCATACTATAGCTATCTAATTTCTTCCTTTAAAAATACTTTAGTTCTTTTCTCATCTTACTGATACAATCTACACCATCAGTATTTGTTTTTAAGAAATTCATAATTAAAACCCTTATCAATCAGTTCAAATTCTTATGCAAAGCAAAAAAAAAGTTTTAAGATGACTAACCATTCAGGAAAGTAGTCTTTTCTAAATATTCTTGTTAAACTTTCAAGGTCTTCATTTGTAAAATGCAATTCTTCCAGTAACGTAGACAAAAACTGGGTATAAACTGGGCTCTGCTGAGAATTCTCAAAGACCGGTATGCTCTGTGACAACCTGAAAGACCACATTGAATACAGAAAATAGAAAACGTTAAGTGTCTCAACAGGAAGAGCAAGGCTGGTGCACTTTAGAGAGAAAATGTCAGCCATTAAAGTTACCTAGGAAGAAAGATATTTCTAGCATCATCCTATTTTAAACCTTAAACTTTATTGCTTATAGGTTACACTAAAACACAAGAGTAATTAAGATATGAATTTGTTTCAGATTTGGTCAAACTCAAAGCAGCTTTAAATCAGTTACGTAACTGAAGTTGGACAAGTAATTAATTCATTCCATCTCAAATCAATTTTATGCCCAGCTTACGTAATGCAGACTACGTTAAAAATCACTTTTAATGAACTTTGAATATTAAGCTTTTATGAGACCCTGAACAGAATAAAAACGTATAATGCAACTGTTTGCACTGTAATTATCAAAAGCAATAATTCCTCTGGTAAAAGTTCTGAAGTAGTAAGTGATCTGTGAAACAATTTTTCCCTTAGAGCATATAAAGAGTATTTTATACCACAAATTACCAGCAAATCATCATTTTTGGGAGTTCTACCTGGTCATAAAGACACAGGCACAATAAAGTTTCATATTATTATTTCCTAGAGGACTACAGTAGGGTCTGTTTAGTAAAGTCTAGTCTGTTTATTTATTTAAAAAGGTCTCTACAAATCACATCACTGAAAAAGCTTTTATGTAGTAAATTCATTTTGTTCCAAGCCAAGATTTCTCCAAATACCTGGAAACTTCCCACAGAGGCCTCTCAGATTATTATTTAATTTAACTTTACTCACTGCCACTGGGCACATGAAATATGAATAAAATAACTCAGAAGCTGCAGATCAATGAAGGCAGCAGAGTAATCAGAGCAGTGCATTTCCTCAGTAGGACATCTCTGCACCCTAAAACAATTTAAGTAATACTTGTCTTATAGAGTGGGCTGTGTACAATTGCTTTATTTTCAGAAACCCTAACAAGATGGATAGTCAGACAAAGATATTTTTGGCTAATTTTAAAGAGGAAAAAAATAAATCTCAGAAGTCATTAATCAGAACATTAACAAACTTAAATTTTACAGGTGGTATTTTTCTAACCGATTCCAAATATACTTTACATACAGACCTGATTACTTTTAACACAAAAAGGAAATGGTATGAATTTTGAAAAGTGAATGCTTGAGCAAAACTAAATTAGAATGCACTTCCCATTAATAAACTTAACGAGCAAACAATAAATCTGATTTTGGCAATTCATAATTTTTAAATAAAAAAAAATTATATGACCAATTTAATTCTGGTCAATTTAGTTCTTTAAAGAAGTCTGCTATTTAAAAAAAAAAAATCTTCAGAATTTTTTCCATCTGGATAGGTTTCTCAGTACTGCTGTGTAGAGCCAAGCCCTCTCAACTTCCACTGATTAGAAAGTTTTTTTCCCAAAATGAAGCTAAAAATGTGCATATAATCACTTTGGTTAGTTTACTTTACACTTAAGACAACCTGCTGATTTCCTTTACATTTGTACCCAGACTGAAGCATCTGTAATACTCAGTGTAAATCTCAATATGAATCAGATTCACTCAATGAAGCACGCAATGCGACTCTGGAGCACTCTATGGAAGTTGTGGGCACACAGTAATAAGAAACCTCAAACCCTTAAATAAGGCCAGCTGCTAAAGTTTTAAAAAATGAGTATTAAAATACGAGTAGGTTTTTGCATTTGAAATAATGAGTGAAGCACATCAGTATCTTGTTGTTCATGGCTTGTCCCATCAAAAACACCATAAATGATAACAAAAAGCATTCTATTACGGACCCAGGAAAAATATACAGTATTGCTAATACTGTAAGTTGTAATCCAGTGTACACTGTGAATCTGTATAAAAATACACCTCCTAGGGAACCAGATTCAAATACTGTTAATTTTAGTTTACAAGTTTTCGATTAGAACTGGAGCACATAAAACACAACCTTATCCAGGCCAGCTTTATATTTCATGATCAGAGATACCATTCAAATAGCTTCAACTGTTTATCACTAGTATGTTTGCCCCATTGATCAGTGTCTTTAAAAAAAAAAAAAAATCTTATAGTAAGGTGCTGAAGCCTAAAACTAAACCTTTAACTTCCTGTGCTAAAATATTGCAAAGCACAGCCTTTACACTACCATATCCCAACACTCAAGTCAGCTTTAGACAGTTTCAACCTCAATACCAAATTTTACTTTCAAGGTCATTTATCAGAAATAATATTCAAACAACAGTAACTGAATATTTCCACTTTATAAAAATGTATTCATTTAGGTAAATAATTATAAAGTGTGGTCAAGGGACTGGAAGATGTATTCCTTTCAGGAGACGCTTGTAAAAAAACGCATATAGTCTTACATGAGTTTAAACTAAATTAAAAGGTAAATAAAAAACATCTTGAAGCTTCCTAGAAATTAATCAGTTAATATGAGTTTTACTTGAGTAAGCACTGAGACACCCTCTGGAAATTAACATTATGAGTAAATCTCCATTTGAACAAAGCTACAAATTAAAATAAGTCTTGAATCAAGCAAAACAGTGGCAGAACATAGGTAAAGGATGCAATAAAATACATTAAATATTTGCATTAATATAAAACTGACATTGAGAAAGTTAAAATAAAACTTTATTTCTTTATGGGGGCAGAAAACTGGTAATTTTTTTGCGGTCTAACAGATTATGATCTTTTGGATTATTTTTCATTCCTTTTGGCATTCCATTTAATATGTATGATGTGCTGAATAGTTAAACCACTGCACAAAAGTGGCCACATTATGAAATACAAACATTAAGAAAAGCGTGAGGTAAACACACAAAACTTGGAATAAAATGGACAGGACATGTACAAACATGAGTCTTTCACAGAAAAGATTTGTACAGAGTAGCCATGTGCAGGTGAGCGCGGCCATACAGTATGTGGTGCTGCAGACACGTCTGCAGTGCCACACACCACATGTTCAGTTGTTCTCTGTGATGTAAGCAAGAAATGCCCGGCGGGGGGTTGACCCCTGGATATAAAGACCCACAGGAAAAAAAAAAAGGGCAGTGCATGTGGGGGCAGTGTGCACTGCTAAAACTGGAGCTGTACTCTGGCTGTCGGCCAGGCTCCGTGCAGCAGGATTGCCACTGCTGCAGCCCTGGGAGGCCCCCACGATCCCATTTAAGGCTGCTGGGGCCACCCCACTGTTGGTCCCAGTCTCCCCTACCCTACCTACGGTAATCTGCCATGCGCCAGAGCACGTGTGGCACAGGTGTTCCCTGTGCTGCTGCTAGTTGTCCCCGGGGAACCAAATGTCCACACGTGTGTGGACACAGCCAGTGGGTTCAATGGTATTTCTTCTATTCATTATGAAAGAGGACCAAGCAGCTTGTTTCATACTGTGGGGTATGCTGACTACTTTTTGCAGATCAGTATTTTAATACAAGTACACCTTCAGATTGTCAAACTGTTTCAGGGTAATCAGAAAAGGAACAGAGGAAGTGCTGAGAGATCAAGATCAGAGGTGTCAGTTCTGACAGCTGGTTTGGAAAAGGTACAAGCCTTTGGCTGCTTCTTAGAGCTCCTCTACACATGCAGGTAAAGGATAACAGAAGAAAGGCCCAGAGATGCATTATTATTATTAGTACAGTAGTAGTATTCTGCAAGTCATCCAACCTCAGAGTTAAAGAGGAGGTATATGATAATAACTTATTTGCACCAAGAGTCATGATTTTCTGATTGCTGGTACCAAAACACTCTGATTGTATGAAGTGCTACCTCTGCAGTACTGGAGAACAATAGACATTTTTAAGTGGCTCCAGATTTTTTAATCTGCTTTGGGCTTTAAATACAGAGGGTTAAGACTTGACTTTCAAAAGCAGATCTGTGCACACACAAGCCGTTTGTTATGGAATAAAAACAAAAATCTTTCCCCACAAACTTTGCATTCTGAGTGGTGTATTCTCATACAAAATCATACTGAATCCTCCTGTAGTTAATATTTAGGTATGTACATGAGAGAAGAACAAAATTATTGGAGAAATCTAGTAGTGAATAAAAATTTCATACCTTTCATACCACTTTTGGACTTCCTCAAACAGCAGCCAAATCCCTGCTACTCTTCAGATAAACACTATTAAACACATTTGTTCAAACAGTAAGGAATTTCATACCATTACCTACAGATTTTTCCCTATTAAATTGTCTTTCAAAGATAATTCTACTCAGTGCACCCTATTAAACCTATTTCAGGAGTTTACCTAGAAAATGCTTAATTTTTGTTGGTAAACAGGATCCTTTTGGCATTAACAAATGCTTATAATCTGTCACTCCCTTTTTAACATCAATTAACTGGCAGCTGCTTTTCTAACAATGATAAAGGGCTACTTCTGCATGGTTGAAGCCAATGGGAGCTTTGCTGTTGACTTCAACAGGAAAAGGTACAAGCCTCTGGCTGCTTCTAAGAGCTCCTCTACACATGCAGGTAAAGGTGCAATGGGATGTAATGTGCGATACGCACAATCGCGCATCTTGCCATGCCACACATGCATGGCAGGAGGCGTGATTGTGTGATCACACATTAGATCCTTATCACACCTTATTGCTGGTGCAGGGGGAGCCTAGGATCACAATCCTGGATTCCCCCAGCACTGGCTCCCATGGCTGCGAGACCTGTACCTCCAGAGGCTCATGGCGGCAGCAGTGTTATCTGTGAGCCCCACAGCTGAAGAGGCTCATGGGGGGGAGGGAGGGGATAGAGGGGGGCAACGGCAGCGTTCTCCCTGCTGCAAGCCCTGCAGCTGATGATGCTGCCACCACTTCGAGCTTTGTTAGCTGCAGGGCTGGCAATGGGTGCTGCATCCCTGTAGCTGGGAGCCCCTCAGTTGATGGGGCTGCCTGCCACAGGGAGCACTTGGCCACAAGTTCATTTAAGGAGTGATTAGAACAAGCTACAAAATGATTACACATTTTAGTGGAATAACGTTGTAGCTTATTGCTTGTT